TGGGCCTACAAGGAGAGAGTTATTAATGGGGTGGGGAGAGGGGGAAGAAAAAGTATTTGAAGGGAGGCGTCAGCAGTAGCCTGTTTTCGCTTACCCGCCCTGCTGTACGCAGCAAGTAAGGCGGCCCGGCTGATGGCACCACGCGACGGCCGATGTGGCATGAGTTTATTTGTGTATGTGCAATTCATGGTTGCACGTAGGCTGGGATACTGCCAGGGCGTCCACACCTAGACAGGAGGACGATTAGAATCCTCAACCAAAGCCTTTGGTTCAAAAGCCTAATCGCAAGGCAGCGGAGTTTGGCGGGAAATGCAAATGCATTACCATTTCTACGGAACAAGTCGCCACATGTTCCCATCCCCAACCTGGAGGGCCAGGAGACTGTGTTCGTCAGACCTCTAACCATTGACCAACCTGGTATGAGAGACTCTGTGAGTGTCGCGAGACACTCTCCAGTATAGCTAAATGGATCGCTGAGGTGATCAAATCGTCACACCACGGTAAGTTCCAATCTCTTCGTAACAGGACGAAGGGATGCTCTTGGTTACATCAACGTCTTTTGTCAGATCCACACAGCATGACGATAAACGGTGGATGGATTCTAAAATGTCGACCACTTATTTCGTCATGTCAGTCCCTTTATTAATTGTCGTGTTGATATAACTCGCTCATTCCACGCTAGTAAACAGGGTGTTCTGACCGATCAATCGGGTGAAGGTTGACTAGAAGAGAGTGAAATGTAAAATCACTGCATATTAATCTGTCTGTCAGTCTTGTTTTTTATTTCTAGTGAGATGGCTAATTTACCATACGCGTCCGGGGACATTGTACAGTCACCCAGGTTGTCTCAGTTGGAAGCCACTCAGAGCCTGTAGTTCATAATGAACTGCTTTAGCAGCTAATTCAAAGTGGCGCGCCAACACGGATATCTCGCATTCAAGCATAAAATATGAACGGTGAAAACTGCTATTCCTTGTATTGGGCAGTTATAAATTATAAGATGCTTTGGCATATCCCTCGCACAGTCCAGCACTCATAATGTGCTTGGATGACGGCTTCATTGTTCCGGAGTTGTTTAGTGACCGTAATGATGCGAATGTTTATTTAGCGATGATAATGTAAATTGTTGCTGGTTGTGGTATAAATCCAGATGTACGGAACATATGGATGCTTCTAGATTGAGCTTCTCTAGCCCTGGAGACGCACCGAAGTAAAAGCCGATCCTCCAAATGGAAGTTTCAGCAAACTTTGTTCCAGTTTGTAACCGGCCACAGAGAAAATGCGGTCAATAAGGATTAGCGAACTACACTAGACTACACTGTGAACACTGCAGTTAGCCAAACAAGCCTGAAAGATAGTTTCTCCCAGTGAACAAGTGGATGCCCTTACGAAAGGGAGATTTACATCACCTAGGACCACCGAGCAGGAAGACAATCCATAGATGAAAATACGCCGGAACTGATGACACAAAACAGATTGACATTGACTCCATCGCAGTTAGTCCGAGAAGTGCTCCATAGAAAAAATGTCTATGATGGAGAGGAAAAAATGACAAGCAATGGATAACGCATGGTGCAAACGGAGCACTTTGCCTTTCGGAAGTTTCTGTACATAAGCATGCTTTGGTAGCCGAACTGCTGAGAGTGCAGGTTGAAATTAATTCTATTTGCAAGCCACACTGAGGCTAGTTGGTAGCTGAAGACCTGAATACGTTTTTGGTATACGAGTGTACAGTGTGTAAACGGTTTACTGGTCAATAACTGATTTAGCAACAGTGCTCACCATATTTACGCGGATAGTAAGAATAAGTGTGATCTCCGAAACCTCGTCGTTCCAGTTACGTTTCCGCTTACGGACTCCGACTGTAATGACGCCAGAAGTTTTAGCACTTCAAACTAAATTGTGTACGGAATGGCTGCAGATGACTGCAATCGGGAAATATAATGCAAAACCCGCAATTGAAATGTTGGGGCAAATGAAGAGATTTCAACAGATGCCCAAATTACTCACTGCATTCATTTGAGCACATGCAGCAACGTTGAATTCCAGTTGGATACAATGGCATGCGTCTAACCGGGGTCCGACAAATGTCCACCTCCTCAGATTTTCAAGCAATGGGGTGACATTGAGTGGGTTACTCCATCAGCCATCAATGTATCTTACTCGGTCACAGTTGAGTGTCACTCAGAATGCGCAGTATCAATTATGGGACAGGTGATGTGCCTGTATAGCGTGAGATCTACCTGATTGCGACCAAACTTAGCAGGACGGTTGTTTAGGGGTTATCATAGTTGGGTCGGATGTTTCGATAGATGTGTCAGTCACATTTTGCTATTCGAACAGCACCGGTATTCAACTTCTAACTGCAAGCCAGTCGATCCTGTAGCCAAAAACAGCCCCATTTTTGAGGATTTCGCTTGTTTTTGGAGTTACGAATAAAATGAGGGACTTCGACAACCCGAAGATGCTGATGTTCGCGGCGTAGCGCAGTGAACGCAGACCCACCCTGTTCGTATAGGAAAACGCTGGGGTTGCACTAAGGTGAAAAACATCGATCTCACCAGTTTTTAAAGTGGCCCGCAGCACTGGGCCAGCGAAATTGATAGTGAGTGCAACCTACCAGTCCGTGCAAAGTGATGTTTGAGAATAGCTCATTTAGGCCTGCTTAAATCCCATGGAATAAGACCTCAAGTAAAAAACAGAAGGTAGCTATAAAACCAACGCCATATATTATTGATAGACCCTGTCAAATAACTAGGGGGTGAATAGAGGTGTGGGGTTCATAGAGCATACACCAGATGTACCACGCAATCACACCACCAGCCAGGCACCCTGGGGTCAACCTTGTGGCTAATCAGGGTGAAATAGGACGCGTGATGTTGCGAATTACAGCAGCCGATGAATATCAAGTCCCCCGTCATCATAGGTAAAACAAAAATAATTCAGTATCATGCCAGTGAGGAGTAGTATGCTCCATATGTAGAATAGTATTTGATTTTAATTTCATGTAAGGATACGTAGCACTTAGGGGCGAGATGGCTCAAGTGGTTACAGCGCGAATCTACCAACCGTGGTTCGAACCTGACCTCTGCCTCTCAACTTCCCCTGTCTAGGCTTGGGCAACCTGGCAATGTCCCAGCCCTCGTGATTCCTTCTGGCAGATAGGCACTGAAAGGGTGTTACAGTTGAATGATTGTTATTTTTTCTACATAGCACTGGCGCTATCGGACAGAATGCCATGCGCGCCCAGTTAGTATGTGCGACCTTGGAGGAGCATATTTATTTGTAATAACTCATTCCATAATTCTATGCGAACCCGTAAAATTGTAAAATTTGAGGGTTATAAAGGCTAAAATCTGGTATTCAAGTGCCAAACGTTTACGCGGCATTTGACAAACTAGACCCATGTGCACACGAAGTGAACAGTGGTGTGCTCAGCAGAAAAGTAGGTATGTACGAAGAACTGCGACATATGGAAATTTAAGGTGATGCATCTGCGGAAAATCATGGACCCGATTCAACAAAGCACAACTCGACTAAATATGAAGACCACGTGTTCTGAACGAGCAACACACAACAGACGGGAGTATATTAGTATCATTCCTTGTGATCGTGTAACCTAAAACGGATTACAAAAAACAATACGCTTATCAACTCGGGTATTCTTGATACAAAGTTTAATCGATATAACCTTAGGAAAACGCCCGACCATGAGAAATCGGTTTGCAGTGGTCTAACGCTTACTTGGACAGAACACTGGATCACCTGAGACAGTAGTTGATATTACATTAAGGAATCTTATGCGACTAAGTGATAATAAAATTAGCAAAGCAGTTGAAGGAAAGACTCCTATGAAGTTTAAAGGGGAGGAAAGGGGACGAAATGAGCGGGCTTAAGAACCCTTTAGTTCACAAGAATAGAGCGCCATTGCAAGGGTGCGAAATGCGGTGTCGAAGTGACTTGGTTTGCTGGAATGAGAAAATGGAAGACGTAAGGGGAAGCGAAACATGGGAATGGATGGGCTGTCAGATGAGGGTGATCGATAGTAAAGGTGAAACAGTGGCCTCAATACCTTCAAAATGGAGCAGAAAGGAGCACAGGAGGGAGACGTCGACAGGCTGGGGGGTCGAAGGAATATATCGTCAGAGCGGACGTAAACAGAAGTAAAGAAACCAATTCAAAAAGTGATTTATTATGTTTCTTTTTCACCGGTAGACGACAACCCTGGATGTCGGTTCACAGTCCGCTCCAGTTCTAATAAAACGTCCTTAGCATCTGTTAGTAGCTGAAATGGACAGTAGATAGGGACCAAGTAATAGAAATCAAATTATAAAATCGAAGGAATTGTAACGTTAAGTGTGTAGCCGACCCGAAGGGTAACCAGGGTCAGTAGAAAGATACATATCACCTCGAAGTATCACAGTTATACGGTAAATGCTGGAATTATTGCCGAGGAAGGTAAAAGGACATAGGGCGGAAATATTGGCTACTAGCTGAAAAGGAGTTACTGACTGCATTCGTATCGTGAATATAACGAGCGTTTGGGAGCTGCACAATCACTGCCTTCTGCTCACGACCATGTGCTCATAGCGACGTGAAGCAACTGAATCCATCAATGGGAAATTTCGTCAAACCATTGAAAATTGTTGAACGAACCAAAGTGACGGCAACGATATGGCTCTCAACCATGATCAATAAATTATGAACAATCTTTGGCGACCGAAATAAAGCGATTTAGGGACAGAGATGTGCGAGTCGAAAGTAAACAGAAGGTTCAAAGTTTGCTGTAAAAAAAGTTCCCGCCGAATTTAGTGTGCTTTTTGGTTTAATCAAGATTGATTGCATATAATGTGTATTACGAAAAAAAAAGATAGGAAACATCTTAATACAGCTGGTAGTAAGCGTGATGGAAGTTGTCAACGGCCGATAGGGAATCAGCATACGACAGCTTACCTCGTACAGCTCAAGACTAAGAAATGAGGATTGAATCTTGACACGAGCTCTCAAAGGGAAGGTATAAGTGGCCAATAGCAGAGCCACATCGGTGAACACACAAGCGTCAAAAACTGCTTCTGATCGGTCAGGGCCAGTTGTCCTACTCTCTCGCTGTTGTCGAGCGGCCGATTTAATCAGCTGGAGTAACTTCTGGTCACTCATGTTTGGAGTCACGTTGGTCAACGAGGTGTTAACAATTTCAAACAGCTGCCGACACCAGTTCCACCGATGCGTATTAATGGTGCTCGAGTTGGAAGGCGTTGCGTCATTGCAGAGATATCTTTCTGGACCTGTCGAGAAATATGTAATCAACAAATGCTATTGAAAACAAACAGCTGAAACCCAGTCAAAATTGATATAAGCTCTGAGTCGGCATCCGTACTTGTGAAGGCTGATACCATATACAGACTGAAGAATTGACTTTAATGTAATCGACAATAAAATGTTAAATGAAAATCAACATTCGCATTTGTTTTCGGTTCGACCATGAGAGACGTATGGTAACCTATACTTTTTTAAGTCTTGATAAGACCAGTCGTGGTACGAAAGAAATAAAGACAAGGTCACCAAAGAGCGGGCTGGTTTATGTGCTGGTCACATGTTATGGTTAAGAAAGCTGCTGCAAAAGAAGTTCCAATGAGGTGATGCGACTCAACCATAAAGCAACTTACCGTAAGAGTGTCCCGGACAGGTACGAGAAATACACTTGTTGGTTGAGTATGATTCAAGTCTTTTCTGTGGGGGACGATCATTGCACGAGTGTAATGAAGAGGACTTGCTGATGGGGTCCGGGCCGACTGAACCAAGAGGTATAGCTTGAGTCCTGTCAGGTATGGCAACATATATCAGAATCGGTTACCAACTGAGCGTTATAAGGATGCTAGCAGAGGATCAGTATAAGGAACTTTTTCACAGGTATTTACAAGAGATTGATGGAAAGCATGAGAGGTAGTCAATAAAAGCAAAAGGTATTCAGCTGTGACACCTTTCGCCGCCGTGCCACTAAAAGAAATTATGAGGGCTGGGATACTGCCATGCTTTCCAAGCCTAGATAGGAGCAGTTGAAACCCTATGGCTGAACCACGGACCTTCCGATAAGTAGGTTCATGTATAAACCACTGACCCATCTCAGTCTGTAGGTTAATTGCAATGCAATACGCGTTTCACAGTGAGTGAGGCTCAACGGATGCGGGCAGCCGTGTAAATGGTATCCGTGAACTACGTCGGGCTTGATAAATCCACTAAATCTCAAGCGACGTGTTCATCGACTATTCATATAGTTATTGTTGTCACAACCCTATTTATATGCGTCGGGTTAGGTGCGACCTATCCAAGAACTAATAGTGATTGAATTGAGTTTTCGTTGATCGCTACGAACGAGAGCACTGTAGGATCTAGACGACCGCTCTACGCGTAAGACTGATATCGACTTCTGATCGACCGCCCAGAAATGATTCTGAACAGCTCGGGTGACCGACTTGGGTATTCATATAGCTTCTTGCCTGACGAATGAGCCTGGATAACTCTCGATAGAAAGTATCCTTTTCGGCGTCAGAAATCCAGTTCATTGGGGCATATGCGGACACTACAAACCGGCATCATTTTGTATTTCGCTACATTAAGCTACATTCAGCTTGATGACCGGAAGGCGCAAAGACGACCGTAGACTGTACAGCAAAACACGTTTAGCCCAGGGGGTGAGTGCAACTCCCACGACATATATTCTACGAGCAATCGCTCCTGAATCATCGGACATACGAAGAGTGAAATGTGAAAGAGATGAGTTCGTCTTTGGAATTTCCGGATGCACGACCGCATGTGGGTCCTGCAGGCGTGTTTCGGAGGCACCAAGCACCAATTTCATGGAAGTATAAGATACGGGAAAGCATAATCGGGGTAAGGTAGTTGAAAGGTCCTACATAGAAAGGATCTGGTGGATTTGTCAAGACACCATTTTGTTTATGCTAATAGGCAGCACGATACATAAGGCACACCGGTCAGATAACTGGCAAACACTTGCTTGTGTAGTAGGAAGGGGTTGGGGAGAGACGTCTATAGACAAAGAACCGGGGAGACAATTGAGACTTCCAGGTTGCCAAGCCGAGGAAGGCGGTTCGGTTGAGATATCGAAATTTAACCTTTGACTCCACCCACAAGGGAGGATGTGGGTTTTTGTTTGGGAACCCTACCTCTAGCCTCTGACTCAAGTCTACCTGCGAGATAGCCGGCAGTAAGAGGGAAACCTTGACGAAATAGTCTGACCTGCTCGGTCGCAGGGGGGCTGGCCTAACACAAGGACGCAGGTAGTAAGGTATTACCGCTTCACTCTTGATGCGCGGGTGGTATTTGAGAAGCATCAGACATTGGTTCCAAGAGTACTTCAACTGTATTTATTGATCCGCCGCCAGTCGCGATCAACCATTGGGTGATTGAGTGTGGGGTTTTTGTAGCCCGTTCATCCTCGGAAGAAGGGGCCATTCAACAACACAACACTGGCAAAGATGAAATCACAAACACAATAGAGAACGGAGTGAGACCACCTAGACAGGGCGAAATGGGGATCTCAATTCAGTAACTGTGGATTCTTTTCCAAAGCTAGCCTCACCAATTCGGGCCGCGGCGAAGAAAGCGAAATGAATCGCCTACACATAAAATCTCAGAGAAAAACGAAACATTGACCTGTTCCTACAGCTTTTTTTCACATCCGACAAAAGAGCAGGTGTAAGCAGGGTGGCGATCCTTTCGGGTTATGTAAACTGGTGTTGACAGGACGCCGTCATTCGTCACCTGTGGCATTTTTAGGCAGGTAGCTTGCTAAACTAAAGCCCGAGACGTCATGTAAGTACCGTCATTTCAGGTACACGATCGTTTGTTGACAGCTACCCCTTGTACTAATGAGAGGAAGTTTCACTAGTACAAAAACAGAACGGGCTTAGCGATAAACGACTTCACCAATCCCGATAATCCATGTGCTTGGTACCGTGGATCAGACGTTGCTGAGAAGAAACAATAAGAAAGGGTTCCAGCAATGGTGAGAACAGAGTGTTGGGCTAAACAATGAGAGCCGAATTTAGATTTCCACATTCAGTATTTACGGAATATAATTCTTATACAATCTTCAAGTGTGGCGGTTTGGATAACAAACCTCATTTATTCACGACGGACCGGTGAGTGCCACTACTTTGTTTTAATTTGGCCACTACGATCACGTTAAGTTTATGAAACCATCAAGAGTATGGATAAGCTCCTGACCTTGGGGAGCCGAATGATAAGTATCCTAGATCTCCGTCTCACACAGAGATGAGCTTACAAGTGGATCAGCAGGCGTCCCCCATCTAATTGCGGGTGCCTGCTGGCAGCTCACGCAAATGCCCGAAGTTTGGCATTCACTCTTAAGAAGTACAGATAGGAGTGTACGTCAATACCCATGCAATTTTCTGTTAGGCGGATTATTTCCCAGGTTGACTGACCGGATACATTTAACGACAGCACAACGGGTTTGTCGGTACGGAATGCTTGTTTTCATCAACTTTAATAACAATAAATAATGGTTGCCCAATTGTAACACCCGTTCGGTGCCAAGTTGCCATGCCATCCGAATGAAGCACGATGGCTGAGATACTGCCAGGTTGCCCAAGTCTGGACAGGAGCAGTCGAGATAGCGGGTGGGTGGGTGCGAAACACGGATCTTCTGGTCAGTAAATTCACGCTTAACCACTGAGCCACCTCGAACTCCACCAACCTCACAGGTAGTAACACATAGGGGCATTACTAATATTATTATCAACAGTAAGAATAGGAAGAAGAATGGTAACACTGGGACCAACCACTGGACCACAATATTTGATTTTGTGCAAACTACTTACGGACCAAGGAACCATGCGCAAAATTCTAGTGTGTCGACAAATATGGACAGCTGCAATAATTATAATAGAGATAAACCTTGATAATGGTCAGAAATAACCATAACTATTATTGCGATCATGATGCCAATATAATGATAACAGTGAATCAAGGTATCAGTTGCTATAATAAAGCTTGATACGGTGGCTAGGTGACCTCAGATTTATCGACAGCATGTAACCTAAGCCAAATAACGCAGCAACACGATGCAGAACCATAACCACTGGGTACACAGAACGGGCAAAGGTACCTAATGCAGCCGCTGTGATAAACGTGCGACTCGGTCAAAATGTTAACCGCGGGGAACTGAAACTACGCTGATTGGCGCACTTGGAGAGATATGCACTGGTGTTAACAAAAAACCAGGCCGGTAGAATACAGTGAAGGAATACTTGCTTACTCGAGAGGTCCCGGAGATGACAGTTTCTGGCATTGGGGTGACAAAAAGCGTGGTGATGAGATGCCTTCATAGTTTAGTGCAGGAGAGGATGATACGGAAGAGGTCGAGAGGTCACCAGCAGAGTGAGCATACCGCTTAAGCACAGTGTTAACATCAGTGGAAACGTGGACAAATGGGAAAAGCGACCGCACTCGTTCAGCTGCTGATGCCAGCCAACACTGTGACGGAGGTAGGTTAGCTGGATCTTCAACCGAGTTAAATGTTTTCGCTCCAAAACCGGATGAATGGCACGCAGTCGAGGTTTGCTTTGGAGGGCTCGGTAATTTATGGCCGAGGACTCTCAATTCCATGGGGAAGCATACGCCCTTTGATATAAGTCGATCGAAACCTTGAAAGTATACTGTTTTCATTACTGTTTCGACTAAATCACCACTTCGTTTCGCATCTCCAAGCATCAGGTGGGAGCTGAATTTTCCAAAATGGAGAAAACAGAGGGGAAAGTGCAGCATGCCAGATATCTCATAAAGTCAAAATTATCACGCCAAACGGATGCTGCACTATCCAACAGTAGGTGTTTGTAAACTGCCAAATGGACAGAAGAATCGGTTTGGTATAGAGAATGGTGAGAGCTCAGGTAGAATAGATGGTTGTTGGTTTGTTCGCTGAGCTGGGCAATTTGATTGCAAACATTTCGTCACCAATCGAGGTGGCATCACTAGTGCGTTGTCAGGGAGCTTGATGGAGACCAGCGATGAGTAGCAGGATTTTCTAACACAATAGCATGAGTTGCACCCAAGCTAGGCTACCAATAACAGTGGGACGTGCTCATCAAGCTTCCGTGAAATTCTACAAAGACGATCCGGTGAACCAGTCGGATGTACATTCAACGGACAAAAAAAGAGAACTGGTGACTTAACTAGTATAAGTCAGCTTGAGGCTATTTCCCTCACTCAATCAGAATTGTTTATAGTTCGGGGACCAAAAATATGAGGCAAACAGTCTAGCTAGAGTTAGCTGACAGTGAACTTTTTTCCGTAGAACACACCAATGGCTACCAGGAGTGAATAGGTAGAATATGTAGGAAAGACAGTGAGTGTTCATATATTCAACAGCCCCATGTGAGTACGAACCCAAAGAGATCAATTCGTGTAGCTCTCACAGGTAAAAGACACTAGTCATACAATCAACCAGAAAATGGAAGAACATCAAGTTATTTCTAATGATATCCGGTGTCATCCGATGTAGGATACCAGTCAAAACAAACGATTATGAGACGAGAGTCAATCCTCCCTCCGACTGAGAAATGCAAGGCAAATGAGCAACAGCTATGCTGAAAAATGATACCGATGCAGGATTTCCCCACTGCTTGTTTCCAGTCATCGCTAGGCTTTCACTAAGGAATACGTACGTGCACTTCGTACAGCGCTCCAGTATGGTGCGCACCGACCAAAGTCTATTGTTCATTTTTTGATGATGTGCCCAATATGGAAGCCGCTTGAGTTCGTTCTCGTCAAGTTCCAAATGTGACATTGAGCTAGTGGGTTCCACCGCTCTGATAGAGATAAGCTCATAACTTCGCGCTTAGTTAACTGGATACTAATAGTAGCTTGTTGCTTTTGTAATCATCATCATTGAGAGCAACACCAGGCGAGAACACGGGTGCTTCACTGGCGGACAACCAAGCCAATTTACTTCAATCCAGAAAAAAAATGGCGCATGGAAAGGGGGTTAGGGATGGCCTACGACAATCTGGATAGAAACTGACAGGATGAACGCCAGTGACACCGGTAAGTCGTCATATCCTTCCGTGTATCCACCCAAGCAAAAGAAAGCTCAAGTGTGCCCCATTCTGAAAAACGAACAGCACCAAAGACACCCAGACCTTTCGTATAACCCCTCGTTCCTTTCCGTCGTGTAAAGTCCAGTCCACCTCTAGGTTTCCACCACTTTCAATTAAGCGTGAAAATCACGGCAGGCGATAACAGCGTAATAGTAACGTTTAATTGATTGACGGGCGACCATCGCATTACGACAAAACCAAAGGTACTCGATCTTTTGAAAGAGTAGCTTCCAACCAATCAAGTGAACAGTAGCATCACCGGGCCTAGAGTGTAAATACCCACATACTCTCATGTCCCCAATGCCATCAATGTATTTCTTTATTCCAGAGGTCCATGATGTACCGATTGACACTTGGTTCAATCCGCTTTCTTTGTCCATCTCTGCAAGATCGAGTGCAGGCTTCGGTTCAGTGGACTTATTTTTGAAGATCGTCCACCTTAACAGGTAAACAAGCATCCATGTACGGAGAATATGAAGGACACCTGGATCACCGAGTAGAATTTATTAAGCTCATGCTGGTATACGACCAAGTCACGAAAAGGATAGTAAGTGACGTACATCGACCGTCGGTGGGCCAAGAAGTCCCGGTGTGTCCACGTTGCTGAACAATAATTGGTTGATGTAGTGTCGCGAAGGGGTGAGTTGTTGGCGCTCTGGTATTTGGGCTCGCTGGTAGAATTGGTGTTGGGTGCAGTGGACGTCAAGTCCACATCAAATCTATCATCAACTGGACGCGTGTTCCGAGGAAGCATTGACAGTGATGGGTTCGTATCAGACATCATGTGGCTGCGGCTGATAAACGGCTCGTTTCTGGAGGGAGAAGCTTTCTTTTGCCGGAGGGGAGTCTTGCGCGGTAACCAGCGCGGAGTGCGAGATAAGGACGAGCTGTGCCGACCTAGTACCTTCCACGCACTCAATTCACTGACCTCCCGCTTTTCTAGATCAAAGAAAGCATATGGTTAAGCAAGAATGGATGGATTAGACTCGCTAAAAGTGTTGTGCAAGAGCAGCACATGGAAAGTGTTGTTGACGATTTATCACAGTTAGAACCCCAACGTATCTGGCGAAAAGACGAAAATTCTGAAGAAGCAATCAGCTTTCAGCGTGGCCTATACGGGACGCAGCGCAGATCACTAGAATATGCAACATCCCACAGCGATGCGTTTGGAGATTCAAATCCCGGAAACCTTGACCAATAAACCAAGTTGTCACAACAAACGTAAGAAAAAAGAGCAACTCTTGGTAGAAGAAAAGTATCGAACCCAGAGTGCGTCATGATTTGCTAACGAAAATTGGAAAATGGCATTGACAGCACCGCCATATTTCGGCAATTACCATATTGAATCTCTCCCACTAGATCAGTTCTTGAGTGCGTTTCACCGTTCCTTTTCGGGAGAGGAATACAAAAACATATTGTATAGGTCAGTGGTTCCAAACCTGAAAGTTACCGTGTTTTCACCACTTTAAATTGGTTTGCTATAGAAATAACCAACCTAATGGAAAATGGATGTGCTCGAATCAAAGCGTCTGAAAGCCGTTCCTGCAATCGCTCGGTAATTCATGTGGTAACAATACTTTAAGCTTTCCTCGCCATTTTCAATTACGTTGAAAATGATTAAGGTTCTCAAACTGCGGCATCTTTCAAGTGACAACATTCGCTCACAGAATTCCTCCACAGAACTGTAGAAATCGCTCCATCCTTAAGGTTCAGATTCAATTGATTCGAGCAGTTTGCCCGACCGGATGAACATCTCCTATGGCATCAGGAATTTTTTGCGAGAAACGTCCGAAACGTCAATTCGGATGCCGCCAAGTCGAGGTGAAAACTTAGCAGAGATAAATCGCCGCAACAAATTGCATGTATTGAAGGTAGTAGTTTGCGACAGTTAAGGATCGGTCACTAATTCAATCTTAATCAGAAAAAGAATAACTGAGGGCGGTGGAGTGCACTGGACCGAGTAAAGTTCACAAATAAGACGAATGATTTCACAACGTAAGATATATCCTAACACTCTGCAAAATGCGTGCGAATGTATGAATTAGTGCATAAACAGAGGACCCACCAAATGACAGTGTGACAACGGTGTGCGTGCTTCTTCAGGGACTCCCCATAGGTTTTGAATCTTCCTCCATTCAAACTGATGATAGCAATATATCAAGTATAATTGTTTGGCGGAATATATCCACCCAGTCTATTATTATGGTTCAGTGTTTCATTCGATGACTGACATGTTTTGTGGAAGGAAGAATGAATGGTTTAAGTTCTATTGTCTAGAGCCTAGGTTGTCAGACAAGAGCTGTAGGAGTTTCGGAGACGTAAACCCAGCGGAGGATCCTGAATCCCCAAATCGTTTTCCGTTCACAACTTCGGGACACTTGAAGTAGACATGGGGACTTCTTCAGATTTATGCTTAATCATCCCAAGAGTTTTCCAGACATTTTGGAAGAAACGCTCAGAGGGTCAAACATGAACGACGTCATGGATCAACCTCAATGCCCTCTATATTTATTACACTCACCGATAAGGTGTAAGCATACGACCCAAAAGCCGGTCACACTACTTTGTTTTGTTGCAAGGAATTTCTACTCCGTTTCAATCCCTACGGCGATGCGAACGCTATGGAAACTAAGTGCAAATAACGTTTGGTTCTTCATACGACAGATTTGTTCTCATGGAGAGAATGTCACAATAGAACTGCCCTCACCTTGTGACGCGGACTAGATCACTACTATGCTAAACGGTTCATCATCATGATTGTCAGCTGTAATAACCGCGTACTCGTCGTACAGTGGTTGTAGCTGCCGCAGTTTCGTTCACCGATGTTTGGGGGGGGGATAGGTACAGTGGGCTGTCGAGTGGGGGGATTGAGAAGGGAG